CCCCCCCGGAGCTGCCGGGCCACTGACTCCTCTCCTGACTCCTCCTCCACCCTCTCCCGCCGCCGTCCCACCAAAACTGGTGCTCCTCATGGCAGCGTCGATGAGCTCCTGCAGGAGGACATCAGAAATGGCTGGAGTTTAGATTTTACCTGAAGGTTACAGCGAGGTCTGGCACTACGGCACCACCTGGTGGTTTAAACCGGAAAATCACAGGTGAATCTGGAAAACAAACACAGAGAGAACGCAGAACCGCCGCCGCCGTTCTCTCTGGGGTGGACGAGCGGCTCGTTTACTGAGGAAATGTCTGGAGGTCAAAAGGTCATCAGCCCCCGCTGCTTCGCTGCCGTCAGAGATATAATAACCTGGGGATTAATCTGGCCCAATCTGCCCGACGACTGTCGATGCCATCGAACACCGAGGCGGAGGCGGAGCCACAGACGCCCGGGAACAGGAAATTAACTCTGATTCCCATCGTTACTCCCAGTGCGAGGAGGAAGACGCCGACAGAGACGCAGCGTCGGAGAGATGAAGCTAAAGATTCAAATCAACGAGCTAACGTCGGGAAACCACGAAAAAACTGAAATGAATCGACTTTTCATTTCATTAACAAAATCGTCATCAAATCAAATATAAACCAAAGAAATATTTTTATATAAATATAAAGCGGTTCCTGTGCCTCATGGAACCGATTACTGCCATGAATTGATTATAGTCGTCGACGGTTGACGTTGACCGTTAATGACTAATTAATGACCACTGGTGTAGAAGGTCCAGCCCACATTCTTCTGGGCTGCACAAAACTGTCTGGTCCACATTCGGTATCTGGACAGTGACTGAAGCTCTTTGTCGCCCCCTGCAGCCTCACAGTTCAAACATCAGAGGTCAGCTGATGGTCAATCATTGATCTGGTATCGACTGGTTCTGTCTGTCTGTGCTGCAGCACTGACGTCTCCTCTGACTGATGTAACACTCGGCCTGTGCTGTGTGTGTGTGTGTGTGTGTGTGTGTGTGTTAAGGTTTGCTCCCCGAGGTTCTCCCGGTCCGGACTCGGCCCGTGTTCGTGGACGACTCACCTTCATCCTCTTGGACTCGATGCGTGACTTGTAGCAGAACTCGACCAGAGCCACCAGCATGGCCAGGCCCAGTCCTCCAATCAGAATGTAGAAGACTCCAGCCACGTTGCTCAGACTGAGCGCGCTCGTCTTGTCCTGTCAGCACAAAGGGGCGGAGTTAGCCACAACCAATCGTGGTGGCGTTTGGGTTTTTTTTTTTTTGTGCAGTTAAAGTGTAAATGTCATCTTTAGTTTTTCAGGCTGTGACTTAGAGGCAACAGGAACAGCTGAGGCTGATTGGATAAAAGAGCCCAGTGTTCTGTCTATGACGACAACAGTCAATAAAGGATTTAAAGCAGGTACTGCGTGATGATGTCTCTGCGTGGGTCAAACTGTGACCCCGGACCACTGAGCGGTCCGTCACATCACCAGAGAACCGGACTGAACCGCATCAGAGATTTTGAACTGTTGCCTTAAATCACAGCACGTGACGTTCAGAACTCAAACATGCAACGACACTCAAAGACACAGAGGAGAAAGAAACGTCTCTGCAGGGGGCGCTCTAATATAAAAACAGTATATTATCATCTGTCCTCCTTCAAAGTCCACTTTTTTTTCAACATTAAACTTTTCTTATTCTTGGTTAGTTCTAGTAACTAGTAACCAGACTACAGTGTGAGCAGGTGTTCAAACCAGCAGGGGGGGCTAAAGCTCCGCAGTCAGTTAAGTTACGTTTATTTTGTTTTGGTCTGACTGCGGCCGTTCTGACCACAGGAGGATCGATCGACGGTGGACGAATCCTAACGAGGAGCTACAGAAACGTGGTTGGTCAGCGTTAAAGACCCCGACCCGTCACGGTTCAGGTCACGGTTCAGGTCTAAGACAGAGAGGGATGGAGGATCGGGATCAGGGACAAACCAACACATGACGTTGGGACTGAGGCCGCAGCGACCTCACCCACTGACCTTTCTGCCGGAGTCCTTGTGTCCGCACTCGCCCTTGTCATACCACCACTTGTTTTTCAACTTGTCTAAGACGGCCTGTTCATTGAGCTTCAGTACGGCTAGGTTTACCAGGATTCTTCCCAGGGAACC